AAGAGAAGAACAAAAGAAGACTTTCAAGAGCCAAATCCCCTATTGGTATAGACAAAATAAACTGAAAGAAAAGAAAGAAGCTTGGACACAAACAGAGAGAATTTAACTATAATAGAGTAAAAATTAAAGCTAAATTAGATAGTAGAGTAGATTTAGATTATTATTATAATAAGAAGGATAAAGTTAAAGAGGTTAATTGTTGATGAAATCTTAATAAAAATTCTTTAAATTGAAGACATTTTATTATAGCTTCACTAGCTAGCTTGGTACAACTCTTTAGTATAAACAATGTCTTAACCAGTGTGATAGACCGCATTTGAGCACCAATAGAACAGCTGAATAATGTCAGATCTGCAATTTAAATAGTTTAAATCTAATAAAGATATCAGTAAGACTACCAATATGAAAAAAAAAATTTAATAATATACTAAATTTTTATTTTAGCTTAGTAATAAGAGTACTTATCCTTAATAAATTTTTTAGTAATTTTAAAAAAACATGTTAAAAAAATTTTAGTTAACAAATTTGCTAGCTAAACAATTTAAAGAATAGTTAAAATGTTATGAAAAAAACTAGTAAATACAAAACAGCCAAAAAACACTTCTGCTATAGAACTGGAGTGCAAGTGGTGAGCTATAGCCTGTATATATCAACTGAAAACTAGATCAGCTGGATTGTAGATACAGAAGGCTCTAGCAGGTTTATCTTAAAGAAAAGGACTCTATAGACTAAGTCAAGTATCTGAAAATAAGAGAGCACTAGTATTCTCACTTAGTTAGATAATTATTGTACATAAATGCAGAGGGTTTAAATAAATAATCTCTAGTTGAATTATAGATATAACATCTAGTGTAGAATTTAGCAATAAGTAGACCACTTCAATAGATAACCAAAAGTTATACATTTGGTTAGTTATACTTTACAAATATGGGGCCATTATAGTAGAAAGGACCTAAACTCACCCAAAAATCAAAATTGAGTTTTTGTAAGATTTGAATAAATTTCGAGACAGTCTACATTTTTCTATTAGTAATAGTTATATTCTGGACAGTTGGATATAAGTGGGGCTGAAAGTCCCGCTTATACACATAGTGCCCAGAGTATAACTGATTTATGCTCTGTGATCTTGATATAGTGACCAGGGTATAATAAATAGAAATTGATTTGCTTAATAAAAAATTAAAATATTTATAAATTTTTTTTAGAAGATTTGTATATCATGAAATTATTTAATATAACTAACTAATCAAATCTCAGAATTTTTGATTGACCAGATCAGTCTGAACAAAATAAATATGATTTTTTCAAAATTATATATTTCTGAATTTTAGCCCTTTTTACTGCAATGGCCCTATATATATATGATATGATATATCATACTATAATAATAATCAAAAAAAGAAAAGTGATCTTAACACCAAAAAAATATATATATTATTTTATTTTTTATTTTAAAAAGCTTTTAAAACAAATAATGATATCCAAATCAGAAGGGCTATTCTGAGAACAAGTAGCAGTCAAAAACTTGAAGAATTGTCTATACAACTGTAAAACTTACAGAAGAACCTTATATATTCTTGTTGACCCTCTGCTTTTTTTTCAAGGAAAATTTTGTAAAAAAGTGGGCGACTTAGCTTACCTCTTCTAAAAGATCGACATATTGTTTACTTACCAAATCAGTTGGCATTATTTACTTTTTTCTGTCACAATAAACATGTAGATATACATGGAATGTGGATATATGGATTACGTATCTCAGAAGTGACAATTCAAACAAACAATGCTTTGAGACTAATAGTATGGATCTCTAACTTCTCTATGATGCTGATGTTGAAGAAGCCGATTTTTTTGCCTCCTATGGTTTTTTTGCTTAAATATACTAATTATATAGATTAGAGTAAAAACTAGTTTAGATAGTATAGTATGTAATTTTTATAAAGCCTGACACAGGCTTATAATTATGACCATCTGTTGTAGATATATTCCATATTTTTCTTTTTTCATTTTTTCCTTTTCCCCTTTATTTTCTTGTTTGTATCTTTTATCATCTTCCCTTATACCTCTGTGTTTTTTTATAAAATATTTTTTCTTTTTCTTTCACTTCCCTACAAGAAGATGTTATCAGATTAGTAATATCCTATTGTAAGGTGATGATCAGACGATCTCTCTATCTAGGGTATTATCTTAATTGATTGTATCTCTGCGATGTGACAGGTCACCTGTAGGTATGTGTAGGTAATCGATTAAATTATGCAAGGTAATCGCAAGATGTCAGAGTTAAAGTTTTATTGTATTACATCTTTCATGAGAAGAGCTTTAATAAACAGGAATCACTAGCGTGATCTTGCCTAAGTGAAAAAAAAACAAATAATCAATAATTTAATTTAAATATAATAAATTTAATATTTAACCAAAGAGTGTGATGACTTAGAGTAGTGGTTAAGTTGTCACCTCTAAGCAGCAGATCTAGAGTTCAAATTCCACTAAAGACATTTTTAAAAAAATAGACCTGTGTACTAATAATATTTATTTAATGATCGGTTAAGTATTTTACTTGTAATTTTGGTACTACCACTTAAAATAAAAATCTTGGATGATCCAAATTCAAGAAACTGAAATAATTGAAACCCATTTGACAAGACCTAAGCAAGAAGGTAGTAAAGATCTTTAACAATATTGTGAAAAACCAGAACTAAAGATTGAAGAACTAAATAAAAACCTTGAGACAAAAAGAGTTCACTAACCTGGCTGCTAAAGTTACATCGAAAAAAAGTCCTATACTATGGAATTAGAAACCAAGGAAAATAAAACCAGAAGGCACTTAAAACCTAGATACAATAACCCATTCAGGCTAACTGGTTTGGTAGTTAGGAGTGATCAGTATAAGAACTAGTTTAATGTAAATTTCAAGATCAGAATGAATTTTGTAAAGGTATAAATACTAAAATTGTGCAGTTTAACAGTTAACCTTAACTGCTAGTAATAGTTTTAGCTACTGCAGAAAATATTTGAAACCTAATTTGAAAATGTGTAGAACATAGAAAGATTAAGAGCATATGTACTACACCTCTCCTAAAGTAACCTAATAGTATAAAAACACTATTAAGTTATCTATAGAATTAGGACACAAGTAATATAACACATATCGATCTAAGTGGTTTTTAATTGAAACAGCACAAAGTTATAGGCCAACATAATTGTAATGGTGATGCAGAATGGAAAACATCAAAGAGTTTAAATAGGTAATCTCCTAGTTAGGTTACAGGTATAACATCTAGTATAAAACTTTTGGACGGACTACTTAAATAGGCAACCAAAAGTTGCATGTGTGGCTAAATGTATTCTCATTAACCAAGAATATACTACTAAAATACCTAATAAAAATCCACCTGTTCATGACATTGTGAAGATAAAAAAAAAAAAAATTTAACTAATATAGGTTTAGGTCGCAGATAAATTAGTTGGAGCTTTTTTATTCTTGCTATTCTTTGTTTGTATTATTATGAATTATAGTAACATTCACACAGACTGATTATTCAGCTTGTTACTATTACCCAATCCAATTAGAATGTTCTATAGAATAGATGGGCAAACTCGCAACTCCACTATTAAAAAATTAATAATTATCGAAGTTTATTTCTTATATTGCCCACCTATTCTATAGAATATCCTTAATGAGTAATTATATACGTAGTAAAAAATGAGGGATCTTGCATATACACTTTTACCAAAACTTACTGTATTTGTAATATATATAATATATCATAAAATTGTTAAAGCACATTATATTATGATTATAATTAAAGATTAGTATAATACCGATATAACTTATAATACGTACGTACGTAAAATTCGTTCTACGAATATGATATTTTGACTGGCGGTAGTTGCGCTACATTATCATTTTTACTGTAAATATTCTATCAGACGAAATTATATTGATATAAGGCTGACAGATAATACAAAGACAAATCAATTTTTAATGTTTAATTATTCGCACACCGATGCAATAAGTTGTCACTTTATATAAGCCACATCTTTCTCCATAATGGTCAGGTGAGAAAATTTAAATAAAATAAAATCTTATGTGAGTGCACAGCCTACTGGCTAAATTTACAAGTTTTACTTGTTATTCCTATAAAGTAGAAAATAAATTTTTATGTCGACTGTGAGCGACATGTTTGTTGCAGGTTATGAAAATGGAAGAAGGGGCGTGGACTATTAACCAGACATATGTACTTAGCGTTTTTTTTTCGACACTAAATATCTTTTTATTACACCAATCCTTTTTTTTTTTATTTGACATAATAATAATGACAAGAAATCTTAGATGCCTTATTGGAGGCATTTTAGGAATCCCGTTAATAATTTTAATATTACTTTGTCCTGTCTTTGGTCGGTTAATTCATTGTTTAATGATATTTCTATAGTTTGATATTTTTGTTATAGTATTCACGGATATCTTTTCAATAAATTTATTATATAGAGATACTGAAATTCCAATATTTTTTTCAACAAATTACACGCGAAATGAAATTAGCAAATGTGATAATCGAATTCTGGTATGTCCTCAATCTTTGTAAGATTATCGTTTCTTGTATGTCTCTAATTTGATTATTTCCTTCCTAACAGTTATTTAGTTTGCACTATATCGATACCTTGTAAGTAATATATCTCCAATTACCAAATTTCTTTAAACTCTTAATTAATTAATGTTATTTTAATTTAACCAAAATTTACGTCCATACGAAATTGATGATGAAACTTTAGTTAGTTTGATAGTATCTGCAATATGTAATTGTTGTAGACTAAAAGTTTTTGTTGAAACATTCAAGGAGGAATTATTGTGATTATCTTGTTTTTAATTTTGACATTTATTCCATTCATTCTTTTTTTTGGGGGAATTTCACTAACGAAATGACAATTTTTTTGATCAGTCCTATACTTTTAATATGGCTAATTGTCACAAGTAAGATAAATATATATATATATTTCATATCATGAAACAATTAATGTGCTGTTTACCATTCTATCATTCATGAATTTTCAATTCATAAGTAAGTTACTCGATAATAACCGAAGATGAAATAAAGCCGATTCCCTCATACTGTCCTTCGGATTTTCCTTACCCACGAGATATTTCAATAGTAACATGTAGGATAAGACTTGCGAATTTAATTTTCATGTGGCTGTTTGCCTTGTTCGGTAGTCTATGGATACAAGCTGCTTATTTCGGAATTTTGCCAAAGGATAATGATTTGAAAAGGTTGACAGGGACAAATTCTTATGATGACGAGAGACCACCTCCTTATTGGTCTAATTAATCGAGTAAAAGATTGGTTTTATTTTTTAAGATTTCTAATATTTACTTTTATAGATACTAATGAAATGTCACATGCTCTGACCAATAAAAAATTATATTATATAGAACAATTTAAGAAAAATATTAAATAGTTCTTTTCTTTAACTTTTAGGGTGAATGCTACTAGCATGGTTCTTAGGTTACTGTTTTTAAAATAGCATTTAAAGTTTATTTAGCGTGCGAGTAAAAAAAAAAGTTTATTTCTCAATTCATTTTAGTCATATTACATAATCGACTATTCTCATATACCTATTTGCGTACGTACGTACTTCGCGGGATGGAGTGTCGACATTTAAATCTATCGTGAAATCTACTTCTCAAGGTTTTGATTAATTCTGGTCCAGTCGACTAAGATTCTGTTTCGGATCTTCCTGTAAGAGTTAGTTGTTTTGTTTCATTTTATTTTTTGGATTCGAGTCCGGTTTTGCACAAAACTCGGACTTAAATGAACCATTAACATTGCTCCCAGATTTGCAAACATGAAATAATGAAGATTTTCATGTTAAAATGTTCCCAAAATTTAGGGTCTGAATTGTGGTCAGCTGGGCCGGAATTAATAAATTTTGTCCAAGAATTAGGGTTGTGAAAGTTACTGGTAAGTTACTGAATTTGCAAGTTACCAGTAAGCTTTGTCGAACCATTTTGCCTTAATATCAGCAAAAATTAATGTTAATCAAGTAACTTACTATTAAATTTTATGGTAACTTACCAGTAACTTACCATGGTAGCTTACCACGATAAGTTACCACTAACAACCCTGCCAAGGATACAAATGCCCAGCTAAGCTGGTATTACTTAGTGTTACCCAACTTTGATGAATTCTGACCCAGATTTTGTGTGTGATCTGTTTTCATACATATATATATCATAAGTACAGTAAAATAATCTCAAACAATTTTCAAATGGAGAGTTAACTTCATTATCTTGAGTTCGTTGGATTTTGAAAACAAATTACCATTTCTGTGCTTAGGGTCGGAGCGGAATATATTGATAAGATAGTTGTTATGACTAATGCTGAAATTTGGACCAATTTGGATATGAAGTTTCAATTTTTTGGTGCTTTTTTTAATTTTGTTTTTTAAGATTTGGTTATGTAAAGTTGTTAATAAAAGAGTGCATATGGATTTTAGTAGAGTTTGTGTTCTCAATATCAGCCACTACACAATCATTATGGGCTTAACACCTACGTACCTTAAATAAAAAAAATGATTCATGGAGCTATCATTACTATGATGGACATTCCTTTAGTTCCGGAAGTGGAACCGTGTGAACTGCCATATACGTACTAGTGATAGTACCATTGGATGCTATTTTTTTTTAATTTTTACGGTGAGGCCATTGGATGCTATTTAATTCAGAAATAAGATAGTATTTTATATTAAAAATGGAGGAAAATGTCTTAGAAAGTGAATTTTAATAATTTTTTAAAGCAATTATACAGGGATATAACATGTTTAAGGAATTGCATGTTTTTACATAATGATTTAATGACATAATGTATCCTTGTATTAGATTAAGATCCAAAGCAGGTCTGTAAAAGTATTTTTGATCATATATAGAAAGCTCAAATATTTTGATAACATTTTTAACACTATATTGTTTATATGGTGATATGAATTTAAGCTTATATGTATTTCTATTTTATTATAAAAATATCAATTATTAGTAAGATATTTGCAATATTTGATTTATAATAAATTTATACTAAGAAGTGTATATGTGATTTTAGTAGATATTATAAATTTAAATAGGGCCACAATAAATTAGAAAGAATCAATATATAAATAAGAATCAAAATATCAAAAAAGGTTCATTCCACTAGCAAAACGGCGCCGTTTCATAGGGTTGGAGCCTTATTTATTACGCGCTTAAATTTGAAAATAAAAATTTTATAAACATATATGAATAATAAAATAAAATGTATACAGTATGTGTTCTTGATTGCAATCGTTTGGCAACTCTCCTTACAAATAGGGCGGAATTTTTCTGAAAGACTACGACGTAATCAAAAAGCTGGGATGCAAATGATGGTCGCATATTAGAGGGTCCACCAAAATTCAGCAAATCGGCCCGAATTTGGGTCGGAATAGGCCGGAATTAATAAATTTTTTCTAAAATCACCACAAATTTTACTAATAAAAGTGGCAGCCTATGCACTAAGTAAAGCTGCCCAAATGATAATTTTGCTATAATATAGTCGACCGGTATTGTTGCTTAATTCCACTTGCCCCGGCCCATCCCTGACCCAAAATTCGGGCCGATTTGCTGAATTTTGGTGGACCCACTAATCTATTCCATATTTCAGTCTCGGATTTTACCAAATATGGGGGACGTCTAAAGCAAAGCGGAGGCACTCATAATGTTCTACGTAGCATAGTAGAAGTTTGTTTTGATTGGCCAATATCTGAGATCTACAAAAGATGTTACACGAACCATGATATCGTTGCTATAATAATTTTACAATATCACACTAAGTGTCTAATTGAATATGAGGAAGGTTTTTCTCCTTACCTTAACCAAGATAAAGACCTTAGATATTAGACAATAGAGTAGATAGTAAATAGAAACTAATGATATATCGTGTGACTGATATATTTGCACAGATTTTGTTATAAAAGTTTTTAACAAAATAATTGTTAAAATTTACAAGAACCATTTTAATTACATCTAGTATTGGATAATTTTTATCCTGCCAATAGAAAATCTTTAACAAGAATGCTAAAGAAGCTTTATTATAATTTTACACTTCCAACATAGTGCAAAAGTCTATATCCAAAAAATAGTTTTGATTATTTGTCAAAGAGCTCAAGTGAAAGAGAATAATATATATATATAAATTTACTAGAATTATATTGTTATAGTGGTACTTATTAAAGAAGGATTTAAGAAGAGCAAAAGAGAAGGTTTGAGCAGAAAGATTTATTTACTTGTTTTAAAGATAATAAAAACATTATAAGGTTATTAAAATAAAGAAAATATTATAAAAATATTTAGAAAACAATATTTTAAAAAGTATTATTTGATGATATAAATTATTGTTTTTTTTTTTATATATTCAAGATGAGGTCATGCCTCTGACTTTTATTATTAACAGTTATCTACTACAACTTATATTGCAGTATTATATACTAATTCATATAATATGAGATAAACTAAAGAGGCTTAAATAGTTATTTATGACCTATACCTACTAATGTTTCCTATATCCTATATATGATTAACCTGAATTTTACTTTCCAACTAGCTATTTTCAGTAATTATCATATTTTTTCCATGTCTTATCATACCTAGTCATAACTTCCAATTTGGTTTTGTCAGATTATTTTGCTTTTTATAAGCTCTCAATTTAGTATATCTATAAACACTAATGATATATTAAAGATGCAGATGGTCTTTATACAGCCATATCTCAAGTTAGAAACTTGCTGCCTAGTTAGGTTCATCATATAAGGAAGTTGGTATTTTATTGTTAGCAAGCCTTCTACTTATTCTCTCAAGTACTATTAATCTGTTTCTCAAGCCAAGTTTTGTTACCACTGCTAGTTTGCATTACTTCAGATCTTAACGTTTTTTTTTAAATATAGTGTTACTAATTAACCTGTTTGTGCTTCCTATATGGTATATTACCAGAACTATATTTTATTGATTATCTTAATGATCTATCTTGTTAAAGACTAGTCTAACACTATGAAATTCCTTAAGTAGTAGATACTCTACTTTTAACTATAGGTCTTGTGTTATATTACTAAGAAAAAAATCTTTAATTCACCTTTAATTTTCAGTTTGAATCTAGTCTATTGGTTGATATTCATTTGTATTGGTATATTTTGGCTTTTTTCATTATAAACTTCCTTATAGATATAACTGAAACTTTCTGACTTGGCTCAATAAAGTTAAAGACATGTTCTCACATTTTAAAATTTAAAAAAAAACTTTCTGACTCAACATATACTAGATTAAGCTAGTTTTTGTTCTATATAACTTCTTTATTTAGCTAGCTGTTTCATGATGCTAGAGGTGCTTTCAATTCAGATAAGTTCATTCTTTTATCACAGCCCTTTTATATATTCACTGCTTCTCTTATTATTTCAATTTTTGGTAATATTGTATTACTTTTTAATCAAATACCAAATGCTTTCCTAATTAGGACTAATTTACACAATTCATTGATTATTCTTCTAAACAAAAATACTCTACAAGTTGGATGCAAAGATATTGGTATTGTCTAATTGGAGACAAAGAGATGTTGATACTGCCTCTAGGTTACTTTAATCAAAAGACTGATTCATAAAATCTTTCATAATCTAGACCTTCTGTAACACTCTATAATACATGATGCCTGCACTCTATAATCAAAGCTTCTTTTAAAATTCTTATTCCAAAACCATACTTGTATATAAACTTTCCACAGAGCTTCACATTCGATTATAGTTCTATTATAGTTTATAATAATAAATTCAAAAATTTGCCACTAGTCTAACTTGAACTGTTGATCTTGTTTATGAGATTTAAGAGTTTAACTAATAAGCTACAGAACCTAAACTTTTTTTATTTTTTTTAAATAGATATATAAACATCATTAAATTTAAATTTAAAAAACAACTACCTCGGTGATAAAGCAATAGAGGAGCCTTGTATAAAAATGCTACTCTTATATGTTTAAATTTATTGTTATATAAATTTTTGTATATATAAAACTTTAGCAAAAACATATATAATTACATATAAACTTAGTTACAATAATGTTTCTTTATTTGCATATTAACTTTAAATTAAATTTTATAAATACAGTAAATACATTAAAAAAAGGAGAAAAATATATTTTAAGCTAAATAAAAATTTTACAATTTTGATACAATTTAAAATGTAATTTTGTTAAAAAAAAATTAATAGTTTTAAAGTAATAATTATATATAAAATTATATTCTAAACAACTTCAGTCTAGGTATACAAAAGGATTAT